TCGCTCCTGTTCAATACATTCATAGTGAAGGATGGTAGGAATATTTACGGATAGATAGACAATGTGAAATCCAGATGTCTGGCAGGATATGAAGGTTTCTTCTAAGTTGCGATCCCCTTCCCAGCGGGGATGTTAGTGCGTGCGGCCCTAAGTCTCAAATTGTAGATTATGTTGGGAAGCAATCGTCTGCAAAAGAAACGAATCGGCTATAACCTCAACATTTCAGCCAATTCCATTCCCATTCCCATTCCCATCCGACCCGTCAGAAATACTGAACATAACGAATTTATCGGAGCAATGCTTGACGGACGTCAACATGTTCACATCAAGTTTGACCACTTATGCGCAGACCCTCGCGGCATGTCAACGAGCCGGAGGATGTACCAAAGAAGAGCAGATAGTGCTCGACGAGCACAGTTATGCCATAAAGCGTAAGTTCCACAAAGAGACATTTACCGAACTTCCAAACACGTTTGTTTAGAATTTGATGCTTTTGGTAAGCTTCCGGCAGGACTAATGGAGTACACGATAATTAACACAGGATCGTACTCGGAATGCATGGATGTAGTGGCACCATACAAAGTGCAATATTGTTATGTGGCCGCCAGCATCGTAATGGTACGCAACCAGTTTCGGAATGCATAATTTAGTTCTCAAAAACCCCTCGCTGCAGGATGGGCCTCAGTTGGGACAAATCGGTCCAAAAATTGCTGTATGTATGCCAAAAAGCTGCACTGAAACGGTAAAAGTTGAAGTGAGCCGAAATTATGGATGGTATTTACCTTCGCTTAGGACATTACAAAAATTTTGGAGCGCTTCGATGTACAACAGTATGTGCCGGTGAACTTTACCCTTGCAACGAATTGTGTACCGTTGAAAAACACATACTCCGCAAATTTTTGGGTATTCATGTAAGCTTTATTTATATCATGCTTTGAAGATGGAGATTTGAGCCATTCCGAGCCACTGCCTTCAGAAAAATCAACTCAAAAGTCAACTCACCGAATTTTCAAAATTGGTTTAGGATAAAAAGAGTAAGCTTGATTTAGTGTGAGTTAGTCCAGCTTCCCTCAGGTATTTTCGCCACGCGTTCACAACGCGCTCGTGCTGCCTACAATGCGTGTCTCACCTTTTCGTTATGTTCCTCCTTTATCGTTTTGATGCTTTATAATTTACTCTATTTACGTGTGAATACCTATAACAGTGCCGATGAGGGATTTTACTACTCTTTTATTACAAATATTCTCTTTTCTTTTGAAGATTTG